TGCAGGTTGACAGGCGAGCCAACGGAATTTCTTTTTCGTTCCTCTTTGTTTGTTTTTGAGACAGGGTCTCACTCTGTCACTCAGGCTGGATTGCAGTGGCACAAACATGGCTCACGGCAGCTTCAACTTCCTGGGCTCAAGCGAGCCTCCTGCCTCAGTTTCCTAAGTAGCTGGGACCACAGGTGCATGCAACCACACCCAGCTAATTATTTAAAATATGTTTGTAGAGACAAGGGTCTTGCTATGCTGACCAGGCTGGTCTTGAACTCCTGGTCTCAAGCAATCCTCCTGCCTTGGCCTCCCAAAGTACTGGGATTATAGGCATGAGCCACTGTGCCTGGCCTGATGGGATAGAATTTTTTAAAAAATAGGCTGGGCACGGTGGCCCATACCTGTAATCCCAGCACTTTGGGAGGCCAAGGTGGGCGAATCACCTGAGGTCAGGAGTTTGAGACCAGCCTGGCCAACATGGTGAAACACCTATCTCTACTAAAACTACAAAAATCAGGCGTGGTGGCGCACACCTGTAATCCCAGCTACTAGGGAGGCTGAGGCAGGAGAATCTCTTGAACCTGGGAGGCAGAGGTTGAAGTGAGCCAAGATGGCGCTACTGCACTCTAGCCTGGGTGACAGAGTGAGACTGTTAACAAAAAAAAAGAAAAAAAAATGCACGTTTTAGTTCTCTTTTAAACTGCTGTGGGCATGGTTCTCCTCTTCTATTGCAGTCGCGCTTCTCTTAGCTAATGTCCCACCTGGGCCTCCTCTTTGGCCTGGACTATAAGAGAGCGGAACTTGGGAATGAGAAATATTTTCCTCTTGTGCTTGCTGGCTTAGGCCCTTAGAACTGGAAAGGGCCCACCTGGCTCCTAGAGTTTCTAAAAATAGCAAGCTGTCTGAATTTTCCTATAGGTTTGGCTTAGCCGTTCCTCTCACTTGTTCCAAGATGCCGTTTCTGTTAGGGCATCATTTGCTGTGCATGAAAACAAAGAATGGCAGGAGAGAGACTAGAAACGGAACAGGACTAATCGGGAGCCACTGCGGACGGACTCGAAATGCCCTGCGAATGCAGACACAGTGGACACAATGGAGAGTGCGTCCCAGGGCCTTTGTCGCTAGTGGAGCTGGGGCCCAGATGCTGCTAGTGTAGACAGGGTCTCTACCCCATCCGATCTGTCTGCATCCACTCCAGTGCTTCCGGCAAGAGAGAGGAGTTCGGCTGCTGGTTTAAGTGAGAGGAAGAAAGTTGAAAGATTTGCATCCAAGGCCTGTGCCTGGGGTCTGAATTCCTTTGGAAGAGGACTGAGGACTGTTCGTGAGAGGATTTTGAACAACCCGGACACGACCATAGGTGCTGTGGAACCAGTGGTGCCCTGGGAAAGGTTTAGCAACCAGCTCTCTCCACCGGAAAGTGAGTGTGGTGCACGTGTGTGCATGGGCGAGTACATATATTTGCATATCCACACACACTACTTCGGTTTATGATAAATTGTATTGATGTAGGCCGGGCGCAGTGGCTCGTGCCTGTAATCCCAGCATTTTGGGAGGCCGAGGTGGGTGGATCACTTGAGGTTAGGAGTTCGAACCAGTCTGGCCAACATGGTGAAACCCCGTCTCTACCAAAAATATAAAAAATTAGCCAGGCATGGTAGCAGGCGCCTGTAATCCCAGCTACTTGGGAGGCTGAGACAGGAGAATTGCTTGAACCTGGGAGGCAGAAGTCGCAGTGAGCCAAATTCATGCCACTGTCCTCTAGCCTAGGCGACAGAGTGTGACTCCATCTCAAAAAAAAAAAAAAATTGTCTTCAAATAAAGGATGTGCAGCACACAATTTACAAATAAAAATAAAACTTACAATACCCTTTTTTGGTACATATAATCATTTCATTCACAGGTAGCAGTTTTGTTGATTTTTTGCCCCCAGCAAAATCTGTAATCAACCTATGGTTACAATTGATGAAGGAGTATAATTCTTCAGAAATACCAGTTAATATTTTCCTTTGTAAAAAATTTCTAATTATTTGTTTATCTATTTTTTTTTTTTTTTTTTTTTTTTTGAGACAGTGTCTTGCTCTGTGGCCCAGGCTGGAGTGCAGTGGTGAGATCACAGCTCATGGCAGCCTCGACCTCTTGGGCTCAAGCAATCCTCCCACCTCAGCCTCCTGAGTAGCTAGGACTACAGGCACGCACCACCACACTCAGCTAGTTTTTTCTCAAATTATTTGTAGAGATGGGGTCCTGCTATGTTTCCCAGGCTGGTCTCAAACTCTTGGGCTCAAATGATCCTCCTGTCTCGGCCTCCCAAAATGCTGGGATTACATGTATAAGCCACCACACTCAGCCTTGATTACCTTTGTTTTTCATATAATTTATTTAATTGTAAGTTCATATAATTTAATATTTAACAATGGCTGTGTTTAGCAACCTGTTCACCTAATTCCTGAAAATCTGACAATCAGCTTTCAGAAGCTGGTACAAGCTGACTCCAGCACACCTCTGTGTGGGGACAACATGGCAAAGAATATCACTGAACTGAGGAGGAAGCCATTATCTTCGTATCTGCCCAGAACCCAGGGCATCTCAAGCGCTAAATAGCGGGAAGCTTTGGGAGTTTACAGAGACGGCACTGTGAACGCTGCTGTGCTGGGCAGGAAAGCATCTTCAAACGGCCCCAGAGGAAAGAGGAAGCAGGAAGGATGAATAAAACAAGAGACTGGTTCGCGAGGGCATGTGAAATACCCCTTTGGAGCTCCCCAGGAAGAACTGGGGGATCCTGGGGGAGCACTGAGGTTCTAATGGGGAAAACCTCAGCAACCAGTGGGCCTCTGGGTCAAAGCACTCAGTACAAACGCTGGGCCACAAGATCATGACACGCTTTCAACAACCCATGAGGCTCCTCAGAAGCTGCAGTGCCATCGGGTTGTTACAACTGACCCCCGTGCTGATGGTACCACAGGCCATCAGTCCTTTTCCCCAAGCCCGCCTTCATTCCAGCCTCCTCCAGCGCCATCCTGGACTTCTCTAGGGAAGTGGCGGGGAGATTTTCCTCCGCTCCAAACTTCTTTTTTTTTTTTTTTTTTTTTTTTTTGAGATGAAGTCTCGTTCTGTTTCCCAGGCTGGAGTGCAGTGCCACGATCTCAGCTCACTGCAACCTCTGCCTCCCCAGTTCAAGCGATTCTCCTGCCTCAGCCTCCCAAGCAGCTGGGACTATAGGCACACACCACCATGGCCAGCTAATTTTTTGTATTTTTAGTAGAGGTAAGGTTTCACTATGTTGGTCAGGCTAGTCTCAAACACCTGACTTCAGGTGATCGGCCTGCCTTGGCCTCTCAAAGTGCTAAGATTACAGGCGTGAGCCACTGCATCCAGCCTCCCTCCAAACTTCATCTTACTTTCAGACACCCTCACCCAGTTCAGAACTTAAGTGCTCTTCAACCAGACTCATGGAATCTGAGGGTTGCAGAGAGATTTTAGAGCTTTCCTAAAATAATCCCTTTGTTTGAAAGATGAGGGAGCTGAGAGAAGGGAAGTGACTTGCTCAAGGTCACAAAGAAAATCCAGGGTGGAACTGGGTAGGGTGACCAATTGTCCCAGTTTGCCTGGGACTGGGGGAGCTTCTGGACAAGTTGCTCCCAGAGCTGAGACCACAGACTCAGGACTGACCCAAGGTGGGTGGTGGGGGGTTCACAGCCAGTCCCTGAAAGGAAAGGAGGCCTGGATCAGTACAGAGCTGCTTCAGGATGGAATTTTCCAAGGGAAGAAAAAAGAAAAGGCCACATCTGGGTGCTGGGACCTTTGACTCTGGCCTGATGCCTGGAACCCCAGGGATTCCCCACCTGCTGTGTGTTTCCTGGCTCTTGAATGTAACCTGCACCCTCCCTCTCCGTGCCAGGGAGACACGAACTGACTTTATCTGTCTCTTATCTCTTGGCTGCTGCCAGTCACAGCTGCAGGGATATATATGCAAATAGCTTACGATAATATTAATATGTGATTCCCCCCAGGGGAGGCATGTGGAAAGCGCTGTACGCGTTTCACAATTCTATTTCATCCAAAAACGCTGCACGGGCCCAGAGTGATTCGAAACAGATTTTCTGCAAAGGCAAAATAAAATTGGAACAAAACCTAGTTGAGGCATATGCCAGTTTCCCAGCCCCCAGCTCTCTCCACCTCTGACATATTAACCCTCTTCTCTCATGCCCCCAGGAGCCTCCTACAACAAGGCAGCAAATCTAGGAAATTGCACTGGGCGCTCGTCATTCAAGCCTGGAGCCCCTGCCCCATCCCAGGGCCGCCAGCCCCCACCCTGGCTTGACACATCCTTTAGAGAGTAAAAGGCTGCTTGCCGGTGTCAGCCTGTCACTCCTGTCCCACCTCTGCCTCCCTCCTGCAGGTGATGCTCCATCCATACCTCCTTCTCCTTCTCCTTCACCCCTGCTGCTTGGGATAATTGCAGAACCATGGAGCACAGAATACAGAATACTGGGGGTGTGCAGAAGAGTTTAGCCAAAGCAGAGTGGGAAAAACCTAGGTCTTTTCTGGTTTTTGCCACTGACGGACTGTGTGACCTCAGCAAGTCAGTTCGCTTCTCCCAGCTGCTGTTTCCTCAGTGTACAATGAGGACACCAATAATACCTACCCCACAGCGGGCTTACAGGGATTTCCCCAGCCGAGGCTTCAGAAATGCCTACACAGTGCCTGGCCTATCGCAGATGCACAAGGAATAGCTGTCATCATGAGAATCTCTTAAAGATCACCCAGTTCAACCACGGTTTTAGAAATGGACAAACAGAGGCCTGGAGAGGGCAAGTAACTTGCCTAAGGCCACACAGCACAATACCGCCATCCCATCTCAGACTCAACCCAGGTTCCCTCCTCTGGCCTTGGGAGCTCCAGGTGGCCTGTGAGGAAGGGCCGCCTCCTCCCGTCACCCCCAGCTCCAGAAGTCTGTCCACACAAGGCGGCATCACGGCACACATGGGAAGCAGTCACTTCACACTCACCATCGAGCAGGTCTGGACACTCAAGTGCAGTCCCGCCGCCCTCCTTGCAGCTGCCTCACTTTCTCTATTGCCGCCAGCAGGCGTCTGCCCCCATCTGGCCCGGGACTCCCGGACTTGAGCTAGGGCTCGGCAAAATCCATCCACTCTGGCCACCAGCCGCGGGTCCCGCTCTCTGGGAAGATCGCCTTGAGGACCTGCTGTGCCCCCAGTCTTCCTTCTGGTGCAGTGAGGCCGGTGCCCTGCCGGGCTCTGATAATGCAGCCGGGACTCTTATCTGGCCTGTGTCAGGGTGCAGGCGGCCATGGAGCTGGGGTTCCAGGAAGCCCTCCTGGGGCCCCCCAGCCGGCCCCGCTCCCCCCGGATGCCGCCTGCTGCTCTGGACGCGGCCGATTGCTTGTCAGTGTCACTCCCAGCTCTGCCGGGGGGAATTCCATGCTGGCCCCCCGCAGGCGGGGCCCCCACCCCTTCACGTCCCACCCCCCACTCCCATTTTGGCAAGGGGACTGGGAAAAGGCAGCTAATTTCAAGTCCGCACAGCGTTTGTGGTCGTGTCCTGAATCCTCCACGATTAATCACAGAGCATCTGATTTCTGCTTTGCCTCAGAGAGGGGCGGAGGGGACGCCTGGAAGTTTCTGTTTACTCCATTCTGCACCAGGCTGCGTGCTAATCACAAACAGACTGGGACGCAGCCTACCCCTCCGAAACTGCTCTTGGCCACCCCTCCCTCCTCCAGCCCTCTCCTTACTCTTCTTACCTTGTCACTGTCCTCCAGCACCTTCCTCACTCTTTCTCCTTTCCCTCCTTTCTTTCCCCTTTCCCATCTGTCCCCCTCTTCAGTCCAGATCTGATCCATTGCACACCCCTTCCTTCCGTCCTGGGTTTCCCCCAAGCCCCTTTCCCCCTTTGCGCCTCCCACTTCTCCTAGATGGAGAGTCAGCTTGGTTCTTTCCTTTACATCCGTTAGTGAGGGTCAGGCTCTTTTGTTATGTTTTTTTCTTTTTTATAACTTAATTATTTCAGGGTTCGGGGTGGGCACTCGCCCCATGCCCCGTCACACTGGTGTGTGTACAACTCCTACAAAGTTAACAGTTTCTGCGGGTCAAGGGGTGGGATCCAAGCTTGGTGATGGGCACAACTTCTTTTGTCCACTTGACAGGTCTCTGCGTTCTGATTCTGTTCAGGGAGGGACCCAAGAACAAAGCAGCCATTTACCGCCTCCGGAGGAGAGGCCGGCCCTGTGGCACATCCAGGGCCTTGGAACACCTAGAGACAGATTTCTCTCTCCCTCCCCTTGGCTCCTTTCCACTCTGCAGCTAGTGTGGAAAAGAAACCAGAAATAAACAGCACCAAAGAACAGGAATGGACACCCCTCCCCACTAAAGCGCACACACAGACTCTGAAGGGTAATTTGGCAAAGATCTCTGAAAACCAGAGATGAGCATCTCCTACCAGCCAGTACATCGCTTATGCCTTTGCACAAGGAGACAGGCACAGAGATGCTTGCTGAGAGCTGCTTATCATAGGAAATGATGGGAAATAACTGAAATACTCATCCAATAATGACTGCTTGAACAAGATGTGAAAGATATGGTACCTCAGGCAGCAGTTTTTTGTTTTCTGTTTTCTGAGAATGGGTCTTGTTCTATCACCCAGGCTGAAGTACAGTGGCGTGATCTCAGCTTGCTGCACCCTCCATCTGCTGGGCTCAAGCGATCCTCCCGCCTCAGCCTCCCAAGCAGCTGGGACCACAGATGTGAGCCACCACACCTGGCTAATTTTTTAAAAAACATTTTTCATAGAGTCAAGGTCTTGTCATGTTTCCCAGGCTGGGGTGAGGCAGCAAGTTTTTTTTGTTTTTTTTTTTCTTATTATTATTTTAAATAAAGATGGTGTCTCACTATGTTGACCAGGCTGGTCTCAAACTCCTGGCCTGAAGTGATCCTCCCATCTTGGCCTCCTAAAGTGCTAGGATTACAGGCATGAGCCACTGTGCCGGCTGAGCCAGCAGTTTTAAAAGAACTGTGTCTGCACTGAACAGCAGAGGTGGGTCTCCAAGGCATATTACTGAGTGAAAAGGGGGTCAGCAGGATACATTTGGTAGAATCCTGATTGTGTAACATTCCCCCTTTACACACATAAAATGAAACGCTTAGACAGCAAGACAGGCTGGAAGGATGTAAACCAAACTGAGTTGCTACTTCTGGGAAAAGAGTTTGGGAGTGACGCTTTTACCTGTAATCCTTTCATTTCTAAAAGTGGAAATAGATGGATCTGTTACTTTTGTCCCAACTATCTTCCTTCTTTTTAAAAAATGTGTTTTATTTTTTATTTAAATGGAGTCTCACTGTGTTTCCCAGGCTGGAGTGCAGTGGCACGATCTTGGCTCACTGCAACCTCCACCTCACAGGTTCAAGTGATTCTCCTGCCTCAGCTTCTCAAGTAGCTGGGATTACAGGTACCCGCCACCATGCCTGGCTAATTTTTGTATTTTTAGTGGAGACTGCTTTTCACCATGTTGGCCAGGTTGGTCTCTAATCCCTGACCTAAAGTGATCCGCCCACCTAGGCCTCCCAAAGTGCTGGGATTACAGGCATAAACCACCGCGCCCAACCCATCTATCTTCTTTAGGGACATTGCGCCCCTATGTGGAGAAAATTTCATCCCAACCATTCACCTCCTCGGACTAACTAAAATAATTCTACAGTAGGTTAGGCCAGAAATAAACAGCATTCTGCAGGAAACAGTGGCTCATGCTCATGTAATCTCAGCCCTTTGGGAACCTGAGGTGAGAGGACTGCTTGAGGGCAGGAGTTTGAAAACAGCCTGGGCAACATAGTGAGACCCTGTCTCTATTTTTTTAATTAATAAAAGAAAATAATAATAATTAAAAGAAAGAAAGAAACAGGCTGAGCATGGTGGCTCACAGCTGTAATCCTAGCACTTTGGGAGGCCAAGGTGGACAGATCGCTTAACCTCAAGAGTTCAAGACCAGCCTGGGCAACATGGTGAAACCCCATCTTTAATAAAAGTACAAAAAAAAAAGGCCGGGCGTGGTGGCTCTTGCCTGTAATCCCAGCATTTTGGGAGACCAAGGAGGGCAGATCACCTGAGGTCGGGAGTTTGAAACCAGCCTGGCTAACATGGAGAAACCCCGTCTCTACTAAAAATGCAAAATTAGCCGGGTGTGGTGGCACATGCCTGTAATCCCAGCTACTTAGGAGGCTGAGGCAGGAGAATCACTTGAACCCAGGAGGCAGAGGTTGCAGTAGGCTGAGATCATGCCATTGCACTCCAGCCTGGGCAACAGGAGTGAAACTGCATCTCAAAAAAAAAAAAAAAAAAGGGGGGGGTAAAAAAAAAATTACTGGGTATGGTGGCTCTCACTTGTAGCCCCAGTTACTTGACAGGGCTGAGGTGGGAGGATTGCTTGAGCTCAGGAAGCAGAGTACAGTGATGCAATCTCAGCTCACTGCAACCTCTGCCTCCCGGGTTCAAGCGACTCTCCCCTCTCAGCCTCCTGAGTAGCTGGGATTACAGGCACAGTGAGATCGCATCACCATACTCCAGTCTGCCAGCCTGGGTGAGAGTGTGAGACCCTGTCCCAAAAAAAAAAAAAAGAAAAAGAACACACCCCCCACCCCCACCAAAAAGAAAGAAAGAAAAAGAGAGAAAAGAAAGAAGGAAGGGAGAGGAAGGAAGGAAGGAGAGAAAGAGACAAAAAAGAAAAGAAAATGAAAATTAAAAAAAAAAAATGAAAGGAAGGAAATAAGGAAGAAAGAGCAATCCTTAGGGGTAAACCCAGAAATTCTGCAAACATTCTGGTTTGAATCACCTCCGGTTAGATGTCCAGACCCATGAGCCAATAGTGACTTATTCCAGAGTGAAATTCCTTTAGGGCAGCAGAGCTGTCCGAGTTAGTTTGTAGTGGGCTGAAGTCTCCTGGAAATGAGGACGGCAGATACATATTGGAAAGCAAAGTCTTGGTTTCAGGAAGCAGTATCATCTACTCTAACTAATAAAACACAAAAACCACTTTGCAGCATTTTCAAGGAATGAATATGAACAAATTCAGACATTATGCAAAGGGCAGTTGAGAAAGCCATTTCATTTCAGCCACGTCCGACCCCCTCACTGACTAAATGTATGGCCACATGCATCTCACTGACAGGACGGGCAAATAAATGGCCCTTGTGTTCGTGACAAGGGGCTGTGGACAGAATTCTGCAGTGTGCTGTTTTCTGTCCATCACTTGTTAAATGCCTGCCAGCTTTGGGAAAACAGCTGGGGGAGTTACTAGAGAAGACAAATGACATTCTCCACAGCCCCCCATCCCCCTCAACCACCACCAATCGGGGCACCCAGCCCTGACCCCATCTTCCAGGGCAGAAGGAAGCTCCAGGTTTGGAGCCTGGCAGCCTCAGGTCCGGGTTTCCAACCGTCTTCAGATGTTGCACAGCCAGACCACTCAGTGTTTCTCAAAGGTGGGCTCCTGAAGGGGTGCCACCCAAGCTGACTTTAGATGACACAGACTGGGCACTAAACACTGAATCTCATAATGAGAAAGCCATTTCGCTCCTATGACCATGCTGGTTCAATGCCACTTGGCCGAGAGAAAGTCTCAGCTTGATCTAGCCTGTCTTTAACACCTAACATTGGCCAATCTCCCTTTTTAACAAAGAGAAAGCAGGCCCCACGCTTATGTCATTCCGCTGCTAACAGCATCTAGCTACAATTGTGTTTGGCAATTGATCATGGTTTTCCATGAGCATTCTATTTTTAGGGTTTTTTTTTTTTTTTTTTTTCAGTTTAAAAGTGAGTCCACCAGATAAGGGAAAAGCTAACAAAAACCTAATAAAGTATAAAGTTAAATTAACAATAATGTATCCATAATGGTTCATTGGTCTTGACAAAGGTACCATATAATGTACGATGAACAGTTAAGAAAAACGAAATTCGTAGAGGGTGGATAGAGCCCTCTGTACTATCTTTGCAACTTTTTTGAAAATCTAAAACTATTCTGAAATAGAAAGCGTATTTAAGGCCGGTTGCAGTGGCTCACCCCTGTAATCCTAGCACTTTGGGAGACTGAGGCAGGTGGATCACCTAAGGTCAGGAGTTCGAGACCAGCCTCGCCAACATGGAGAAACCCCCGTCTCTACTAAAAATACAAAACTTAGTCGGGCGTGGTGACACAGATCCAGCTACGTGGGAGGCTGAGGCAGAATTGCTTGAGCCTGGTAGGCAGAGGTTGCAGTGAGCTGATATCATGCCACTGCACTCCAGCCTGGGTGACAGAGCAAGACTCCCTCTCAAACAAAAAAAATAAATAAATGAAAGAAAGAAAGCTTTTTAAAGTATCTTTAATGCCCCCCACCATAAATCCATGTTGTTGTTGTTTGTTTGTTTGTTTAAGTGTATACATGG